GAGGTGATTTTTGGGCTGATTTGAGGCCTTTTCTTGGTCCAAAAGTTATTGATTTGCTGTTGTGCTTCAAGGGTGAGCTTTTACCTCTTTTAAGCCTTGTTTTCATAGCTTGTTTTTCCATATTTGCAACAGTTTTTGAGCTTAACATATAACACAGAAAAGTCTTGTTTTTGAGTGCTCTAAATAGTTTGTTAAGGGTGTTTTAAGCTTTGGGGTTGTTTAACCCCTCTTAAGGCTTGTTTGGCCCTTGTTTTGTGCTAGTTTGTGTGAGGTCCGGGACTTTGGTGTTTGGGCCTCCTCACCACTGAAATCTTGAGAGATTTCAGTGGTAAGAATGGTGCCTTGAGGTCCCAAGAAGGAAAGGGCCACCCCCTCTCCTTGTTGTCCTTGAAAAGGACCATTTTTGCCTCTTGAGGGAGCACCTAGCTTAGGCTCTTGTTGACCATACCTTAGCTGTTATTTATGCTTATTTTGCCATGAAATAGCATTGTTTTAAGTTGGTTTTGGTACACCATGCTTGCTTAGCATACATGCCTTGTAATGCCATGATTTGCCTCAACATGTGCCTAGCATTTAGACTACCATGCTCATGTGTTTTGGCTAAGCTTAGGTCTTGGTGAAGATGTCAATAATCTGATCAATAGTAGAAATAGGAAGAAGATGAATAGTGCCTTGAGTAACATGTTGGCGAACAAAATGACAATCAATCACAATGTGTTTGTGTAGCTCGACTATTCGCGCCCCTTTTCGGAAGACGAATAAGCCCTACAGTATCAGACTCCTGTAGTTCTAAATCTAATCTCACAAGTGCAATGTGAAATAAATAATCACCAAAAAGTTCAAATTCGGCAAATCTTTTGAAAAATCGATTTTGAATCAAAATGTCAAAAATGGACTACTTTGCCAGATACAAGTCACCACCTAAATCTTTTTTATGGGGGAATTAAGGAAACCCTGACTGGGTGCCAAAGGCCACATGTCCGTCATCACCAAGGTTGCCTCGGCTCGGGAGCTTGGGTACGATTGGGGAAGGTCAGCTATGAG